CTTATAGGAGAGGACTCAGATTTGTTCCACCATTACAGTGGGACAGAAACCTCTCCCCACACCCTCATCTAGAGGCTCATGGTCCTGGCAGACATGGGAAGCCTGACCACTTGTGAAGACTGAGGCAAAGAACTCATTGAGCACCTCAGATTTTCTATGTCTGAGGAAGCCAGCTCCCCATTACCTTCCATCGGGGGAACACTTTCCTTGATCCATCTCCTCCTGCCTACCTACCTCTAGAACCTTATCTTTCACATCACTTGCCAAGTTCAGCTCTATTTCTGCCTTGGCTTTCCTAATCCTATCTCTACACACACAGACAACAGCCCTGTATTCCTCCCAGGCTGCACAACCCTGCTTCCACTTTCTGTGCATTTCCCTCGGTTTAAGCTGCAGATTCCTGCACATCCATGTTTTTAACAGTTAGCGGTATGTTTGTGGTTTTCTTTTTTTGTTGGTTGTTTTCTGTTATTACTGCTGCTTTTGTTTGTTTGTTTTCAAAGGCAAAATATGCCAGTGTAAAGTATAACATATTAAAGCAGTATGCAGAAGCATGATAGAGGTCCTCATAAGATAGTTTAGGAGTGATTAGGATGGATAAATGGTTTTCTTGGATGGGCTTCTGGGTTCAGCTTTTTAGCATTGTTTGTTTAAACCCTTCATGTTTCTATAGAAACTTTTCACCTGAGACTTTAAATAGAGGCTCTGCATGTACCCAGAAAGTAAGGTTCTCTGTTGTCTTTGGTTACAAGGTCCTTTTTGACCCGAAGTCTGGTAATGCTGAAAAGATCAGAGTTACTCTGAAAGGAAAAATGATATAGAGATAACATATAGATGTAGTATTTATCTGTCTTTGATCTTGGTTTATTCTTAGCTTATCTCATTCTCTGTGTAAATAAACTGTCTAAAGCATATACTGCTCCCAAAACTTCGTGTGCTGCGTCTACTAGCACAAGAAGATTGTTTTCTTTGCTATTTCTTCAGGGAAAAAAAATCTAGCTCTTTTAGTTCTGAATGTTCTTGAATTTATTCTATCATGAAGTCATGATAATTGGTAGAATTATGATCAGACACCATAAGGCAAATTCTACCATTATCTGTCAAGATAATACTCCAGTGAAAATATCCGCTTGTGCCAGCTATAGGCAGTTTATCTCTTCAAAATAATTCTGCATCTGTTCTAAGATGTATTCTGTGCTGCATTTTGGATGGAACTAGCTGGGCTAAGCTGTACTGCACAACCCAACTGTGTGCAATGGTTGGCCCAATTCAAAAAACCTCTTTCTTCAAAATAAAAATGAAAGTACCAAGCCATGGCTCTTTGATCCCAGTTAGTTTTTCCCTAAGTCTTCCTATCCAAGTTAGTACAGTCAGCTCCAGCTTAGAAAATATTTTGGCTCAAACATTCCACAATTCTTTTTATTTGTGCATTTTCCTCTTGGATTGTTATTTGCTTGGATTGTCCATTGTTCAACAGCTGAAAAGGTGTTTCTTTGTTTGTTTGTTTCTCTTGATATGCTGACTTAAATTAACATGTAAAAAAAATTAGAAGTATTTTTCTTCTGAACAAGTACTTTCAAGTTTCACTTAAAAAAATAAACAATTTATATTCAAATGTGATTAGCTATGGTCTTATACTAAGGCACTGTACTAAGTTTTGGATCTACTGTGATCTACTGTGTTGTCTTGATTTTATTTTATTTTTTTAAGTATTAGCTTTTTAGCAGGCAGTAAACTGTTTGTTTTCCTGTTATTTGCTACAGAACAGTGAAATGATGTTTTGCTGGTTTTTTTTTTTTCCTGGGTGTAAGTCCCATGCCTACTTGCTTGATGTGTAAAATTCACAATTACGTTCAGCAGAGAGGGAATTAAAGGAATATTATGCTATTAGATGCCCTGTAAAGTAGTCCTGAGTTCCTCTTCACTTTGGTTTTGCTCTTTATTGTGTGTCTGTCGTACTTGGAGTTGGAAATCTCACGTAGTGCTATAAGGTAAGACTAATACAGGTTGTAGTGTTGGTGAAATTGGCCAGACCAGCTACCTTGCTAAATAAGGACATCAGTTACTTCCTATGAATGCACAAGTGGCAGAATAGCTAAATCATGCATTAGTCACATAAGAAGTTGTATATACGAAATTGAGTTTGGTAAAAGAGGGTGAAAATGATTAAAATCTATTTAGGGATAAAGATTCAAATGTAAAACATCAGATGTTAAGCAACTGAAATTTTAAAATATCACAGATGATACAATTATGGAGCCTATTAATGAAACCATTCCACCTTCCACAGATTTATAATTTGTTGTTTTTTAGACCAGACCTGATTAATTAAACCACTAAATAATGGAGGATATTGTCTTTAATATGACATGGTAATGTCTCTCTAATACATGTAGTATTAAAGGACAAGAAAATAATTTAAAAAAATATTTTGTGAGTGGGTTTTTGATTTTTGGTGGTGTTTTCTTCCTTTAGGAAAAACCTGATTGTCAAAATATTTAATAGCTGTATATTGAAACAACTAATAGACCTAAACACCAGGATTTTCAAAGCCTAATTGCTTGGGCAGTCTTATGTAGGTCTTTGCATATGCTTCTTAGCTCAAAGATTCATGAAAGTACAAATCTTTCAAACCCTGGCTGTTTAGCTCATTATCATTCAAAGACAAGGTTGTATCTTCTTAAAAATACAGACAAACTGTAGGTGAAAGGGCAGCAACAACATCAAAGAAAGGTGAGAGCTAGTTTGGACGAAGGTTCAACAGCATGTTGTGAGGTAGGATAGAGGGGTATATAGCAGTCTATTGAATTATACTAGTTTGGGTGTATTTTCAGCTCTGTAAGTTAGATGTTTCTATTACTAAATGAATGCACTTCTGTAGATATACTTGAGCAATATTTTGTAATATTTTGTGTGACAAACTTCTTATTCATTCTTGAATAAGATTCTCTTGTTCTTTGTGTAAGCTGGGTACTGATCCGGTTAAAAGATGTGTGTGTGCTGAGATGACATGAAATACAGCAATCCCAGAACTATGCATAAACTCTCTCTTGCATGTGATTTATCTTCTTTCTTGCAACCTGAGTACCTAAACTGTGAAAATATGGCCCATGTTTTTAAAAAGTTTATCATCTTTCACCGGAAAGCTCTGGGTAAGCATTTCTGGTATTGTCTTAGTTTAATAGTATAATAAGCACTTCCCAGTAAGTTTTCTTTAGCCAACTAAGTCCTACCTGGCATGTTTTAGATGAATCCACTGAAGTAGATTTGATGTTCAGGATTTAAGAAGAAAAAAAAAATCCATGTTGATTACTCTCTATTTGAGCTCAGTAGTACTATCTTGTATGTTGTTTTCTTGTTATTATCTTTACACATTCTTATTTAACACTAGTAGAATGCTGCCTGTGTAAATATTCAGAATTTGGTTGAAAGTAACACAGTGAAAATCTCCAGTAAATTATTGTTTTGTATTTGACCTTCAGGATACCTTTTTGCAGTACCTGGAAAATGTGGCAAGCTTTGGAAAAGCATTTGCTGCCTTTAGAATGCTGTTTGTCTGTGAGTGAGAAGCCCACCTAGGCTCTGAGAGTTGTTCATTTGCAGTGCCTTATCTGCAAATGTTATGTTTCTAGTGAACTATAATTAAGTTGTGAAGCAGTTATTGCAGAATCGGGGTATGTTATATGAGATCCAGACAAATACAAGCTATCTAGACCTAATATAGCTTGTCACAAAGAGTTCTGCAAATGAAAAATCTTAGGACTTGAAGGAAAATTGTCATTACTGTTCTCTCCACATAGTCACATTCTAAGGCTTCCGGCATCTTTTATGGCACAGATCAACTTTCTGCATTCACTAGAGACAGTAGATACACTATGACTTGAATCATTGTATGTTCTTAACTAAAAATGGTGTTGACAGTTCATCTAAGGATGAGACGAATGAAAACTTTTTAACTAAGATGGCTTTGCAGTTTGAGTGTTTTTCCTTTTGCTATTGTTTTTTTGCTGTTGTTTATTTGATATCTACTGGTATTTATTGAGGTGATTCAGAGTTATGCTTTATTTATTACTGATTGCCTTTGGTATGTAAAGCTGAGCAATTCATGGAAAGAATAATCTTGTCACTGTGACCTTAACGTTTCTGTCTACTAGGGTAAGGAGAACTTGCAGTCAGCAGATATTTTCTATTAGCTATGTCTTATTTGAACTGACTTTAACAATAAGAAGTTGGTTCTTTCAAAGCACTGGTTAAATTGTAATAAGCTTCAATATTAGCAGTATTTTGAGGTAATTATTTTTAAAAATAAGTATAGAGCAGGACCAAGCATTGAAGCTGTACCATATATTCATCTTTAGAGTGACTTTAATTCCAAACCATACCCATAAACTAAAAACTCATGTAAAATACCTACTGCAAATTAGGTTATTTTGTAAACATGCTCTTGTATGTCCAGTGGCAAATTCCATGATGGAAATCATATAGAATTACTGCAGTTCAATGAAAAATATCATAAAAATAAATACATATTACTTCAGTGGATGAGAGCTCAGGCAAACTGTGTAATATTTAAAACTTGCATATCCAGCTACATTATAATGAGCCATGCTTTTAATCAGATTAATGAGTCTACGGTTTAGCACTGTTCATGACTCACAATAGTCTTCCCCTACGGCACAAGTTCCTAACAACCCTTCATGTATCATTCATTAAACACAGACTTTGTAATAGTATGTACAGCATAAGGACGTACAGGACAAGTGATTTTAGGAACAGTGACTATAAACAACTGTGGTAATCCCTCTCTTCTATATCCAGCTCTTCCAAAAAACCCAAATCAGTTCTGTATATTCACTCATTTTATGAATGTTGCTAAGATCAAGAATTTTAGAGGGATTTCTGTGAAACAGAAGTCACACAAGATCACACTCTTTTGAAACATGATGATTTTGGAAAGATTAATATATGACTTTTCTCTCCTCTTCAATTAACGTTGACAGAAATGAGCAAAGCCATCAGAAATCTGAGACAGTGTCTGCCCCAAGTCAACTTACATGAATGAAACCTGAACTGAAATAAATGTTAACAATGAGATCATCAATAGGAATCATGCTTCTCCAGGAAGGGTAAGTAACTATATTTGCAGAAAGAATTATTTGTGTTGTGTTCAGATTTATTTAATTTTTTTTTTGTCATCATCTGTTCTCTCCTGCTTCTGATATTTTAATTACTATCACAGCCATATTGACTCCTACAAGGACAGGTTTACATGGAAGGCTTTCTACTCAATGGAGAACAATATTTGAAAGGCAGTTATTCCAAATGAAAGGTACAACGTTTCCTTTGAAAATGGCACTCAAGCACGGTGCTCAGAACAGAAAAAGTTGAGTTCAATTAATTAGGAACTAAGGAATTATGTCATGCTATGAATAGCAAATAAGTTTACACAAAGTATTATCAGTGAGTCAAACAGAATAGCTTTCCACTTCCCAATGCTTCAAAAATTCCCAATTCTAGAATACTTTGAAATAATCTTTTTAATTTCTGATCATTGCCAGAGTTTCAAATATGTAATAACTTAAGAGGAAGAATAATTAAGAAATATCCCAAGCTACTAATATTTGAGCTCCATCAATGTCAGCTTTAGAAGAGTAGAATTGCATCTGTTGAAGTTTCAGTCAAAGATGTTTTTTTCCTGACAAAACAATCCAGTAATTCCTACTCCAAATCTAATACAAATCTTATAAAGCAAAAACCAATCAAACAAAATAAATTTAAGGAAATGTAAGATAACGTGTTGTTGTTTTTATAAATTGACACAATTCTAGTAGTATGGGCTTCTAGAATAAGATAAGGAGCTGAGCAACCATTTTTAAAGCTGAGAAGAGGTCTATGTTGTTACTCAACAGAGTGCTCAAAATCAAACCATTTTGTGTTAGTATTACTCCAATAAACAGGCTTGTGACTGAATTTAAATTAATACAAACTTTTTCAGCATCAAAAAAAGTTTGCATCCCATAAAGTTTGTCTGGGCCCATAGTTAAATCATTCTGGAAGATGTCATTGAGATATCATCAATTTCGTGTGTTTCATTTGTCAGCCTAATTCTGTTTCTTTTCTAAGTTAGCAAGAATACATACAGCAATGTCTTTGAAAATATCACTTTGCTTTCAGATACTCCGACAAACTGTATTTGATATCACTTCTGACACTTGATATACTGCCTCCAAAAGGCAGTGCTCATGGAAATAGTAAGCGGCACTTAGAACTTTGCAACATTATTCTCAAAAGTACTGACTGACTCATGTTCATCTGAAATAGTTTGCAGCTCTAGGGAAAATTAAGGAATGTACTGCATTGTTGTAAAGAAATCTCCCAACAATGTTAATGTTCAGGCAAAGACAGCTGTGTTTCTTATAGATTACAGACATACACACTTCTGTGTAGGGGCAGATTAAACATTGATCTGCAACATGTCACGGGTCTTCAGAAGTATTCGATTATGAAAATCTATTTCAATTAAATTTCTTTATGTAAACATTGTGGCAAAATGTAGAAGAATATAAAAGAATAGTAGATTTTTTTTTAAGGTGTTCTACAATGCGCACTCCTTTCAATAGCTTCAAGTATGAAATATTATGCTATGGTTTTAACAGTCTTTAAATGATATTAAAATTATGTTTGTATATATATATATTTTTCTTAGTCAAAACTTAAATAGAATACTTGACCATACTAAATAGCATTTAATTTTGAAAGAAATTTTCTTAAATTGGGAATACCCCATTCTTGTGGGTAATATGAGAATGCAGTTCTATTTGTTATTTTGTGGTGTTTGACTTTTTTGCTCTGGCAAAGTACTCTCATTTTGCATATGTTCTGTGCATTGGGCAGAATGTGAGAGTCTAGATTCTTAATTGGATGTCCAGCTGCTCTATCATAGAATGTTTTCTTCATTTCATTTCAGCAGAATTTGTCTGAGCTTGCATTTGTCATTCTTAAACCAAATTAGGTGTATTCACAAGCTAAAGATTAGACTTTGTGTTCTGTGTGCCTGTTATTACTATTTATTTTTTCTCTTCCTAGCAAGCTACCTTTCTTACCGTGGGAATGCTCCATAAGTATTTGCATCAACAACAATACATGCTTTAGAGACCTGGAGAAATAATTACTGCAGTGTGGTATTTTGACTTCTGCTTCTGTGAAGATCTAACTGAATGTCTCAAGGAGGTGAGTTTTATGGACTATGGCTAAAGGAGGTAGGATTCCTGAAATTACTTACAGTAATTACTTATAAGTCTTACAGTACAAGTACGTTTAAACAGTATGTACTGTTGTATGTACTGATGTAATTCCAGGGCAGTCAATTGAATAATTTATCCTAGGGAAAAATAAGACAGCAATTGTTTCCAGCTCCTCATTCTGGATACTCCTGTCATAGTCACTAAACTGAGATTTGTGGTTACAGTGATGGAGGGAAAAAAGAAATGAAAAAAAAAAAAAGTACTGTACTTTCAAGGGTCAAATTTCTGTTGATGTCACTGAAAAAAGAACAGTTTCATTCACAGGAAGACTATAAGATTTTTTCCTCTAGGTGATAGGTAAATATGGGGTGCTCCAAAAGTACTGCCTCCTATTTTGTTATGTTGTCCCATGACATCAAACATGGGTACTGGTGGTATGGCATTAGGGGTTGAACCTTCCCACCAATATTCTATTACTTTTTGTTGTCGTGAGACAGATTGCAGCTGAAAAATTGCTCTATCAAATAGTGTTATTATGCTCTTTATTGTGCATAGTTTCCATGGAAATAAATAGAAAGCATTATTTTTGGAGCATCCTTCGTCGATTCTTCTGTTTTGGTTCTGGACATCCTTATTTTTTGCATGATATCTGCATCTGTTAGAATCCAAAGAAACCACAGAATCACCATGGTTGGAAAAGACCTCCAAGAACATTCAGTCCAACCATCCACTTACCAACCATATTTCCCCACTGAACCACGTCCCTTACATCTAAACATGGGATGGTAGCCTCATATGGAAGGGACTCCTCTGTTTTATCTCTGTTTTATATATTGCCTCTCTGTCAATGTCACCTTCAAGGAAAATAACAATTACTTTCTTATCCCAAATTCCAATTACAAAATGTAATGACTGTAGGTGGATAACAATGGCTAAACAGGGACCAACATACAACACAGAGGAAACGATCATTTGAAATGAGAAATTAGTCTTCTGCTGTGAGGAAGATAAGTCATTCTTTCTATATTTAAAATAGGAACTTCTGAGAACTTCATCTTTGCTTTCCTATAGCAAAGAAGAAAAATACATGGAAATTTCAGTCCACTTATATTTTCTATGTATGTTTCTGAGCAAAAAAAAAAAAAAAAAAAAAAATTGAATGTAAACTACTGAGTCTCACACCACTGTCTTGGTATGTTGTGGTTATGGCATGTGGTTTATTTATTTATTTATTTATTTCTGAAAATGATGTAAAATTCTTGATATTCTTCCTATTTTGTTCTGAATAATCTTTTCTGAATGGAACTTTGTCTCCTAATTCAAGTGCCACTAAAATAAAGGTTAACCTCACTGACTGTATATAACTTCAGTGGAAAAGTTTTTGTAAATTATCTTGTTGTTTCACAGGCCTTGGAGAGTGCTGTTGTGGATAGCAATGAGGGTGACTCATCTGGCTATAGAGCTGGAAATGGAAATGTAATATTAAAGAAAATAAATAACAAGACTGAAAAGAGAATTAAATGAGGAAATGAGGCGTGAATGCGTGAGACAGAGGTTAGTCTACTGCATGTAAGTAGATATCGCCTAATTATTTGGGAAGCAGAACTTAGTAAGGGAACTGTAGGATTATGAGTGAACTAGAGCACTCTAGGATATGCCTAGCAATTTCTTTATTGCAGCAGGTAGATCAGCCACTCTGTGGTGTATAAGGGATAGCTTGAAAACCCCTTTCTTTGAAGAAATGCATTATGAGTAGTGATTAATTTGTATTGCTTACGTATGTGTTACAATGGATTATTTGCATTGCCTATAAGCAGTTTATCACATTCAGATTTCCAAAATCATTCTTCTAAAGAAACAAACAAGCAAACAAAAAACATGTGAATTTAAAACACAAGAAATAGGTCTTGAAACTTAACATGAGCTTTGTTGAATGAAAATCTGAACTTTGAGCTAGCAATACTTCTTGAGAACTCTTACACTTCTACAAATTGATCTGTAAAGGCAGCTGAGACTGAATTTGGTGCACAAAGTTACTTTTCTACATCATTTGACAACTGACTGTACCCTTACTGCTGCGGAAACGCTTTGCTTTTCCTATGTCAGTTACTCAAATGTCAGTACAGCATCAGGTTGTAAAACAAACCCCTCTCCAAAATTTCATCCAAAAATTCATTAGAAAGAATGAATATTTTAAATTTTAACTCCAGTAAATGTAATATATAATACTATAATATATATAAAATAATATATAATATAATCAAACTATATCTATAATAACTAAATAATGTGTACGGATGTGCTACTACTCATAAAAGCATTGTTGCTGTGAAGTCTCTAAGAGGTTACATAAACAAAAGCAATTAAGAAGAAATTCAAAATAAAACCTATCTTTCAAAACTCTGGGCTTGTGTATACATGTAAGCTACAAAAGGAGGACAAAACTGCTCAATAAGTTTCATGTGAAACCTTGTTAGCAATTTGTATCAACAAAATAAATAGAGGTTAATTGAGGTGCGCTCATAAACATTTTGCTGTCTGAGCAAATAGTTTTTATTTGTAAAACTAATTGAGCCTTCTGTGGTTTGTTTTTTGGAACTGTGATATAGCCGTTATCATACAATCCTGTTAGAAAAACAGAATAAAAATTGCATGATCAGCTTCTTAATTGTAGATAGTAATGTATTTATATTCATATTATGTATTAGTTACATAATATATTCTTATCAATATGTATGAATAATATATTTTCATTATAATTCTTTTGTCAAAATAGATCATATAGAGAGACCTTTTTATTCTCCAGGTTTTATTTTGGATTTGGAAAGAAACAAGAATGGTATAATTGAGGATTATGAGATTTCTTATTTTATACCTCAGAGACTTTAGGATAGTCTTCATGGAAGGGCAAAGGTCTGGATTAATAGCAGGAGGTTGCAAGTCTCTAAGTTCAAGCCCACCTGGGTCGGGCCCCACAGGTCTGAACATACAAGTGAGATCAAATAATTATGCTACTTGCCAAAGCCATTATTGATAATTGATGATGTGGTGGAGGAAGCAGGGCTTAGCACAGCTAGACCATATTCTAAACTCATCTGTTTAGCTTCAGACTGGTGAAAGTCACAGCACAGGTCCTTGTATTTAGAAGAAGGCTGTGTCTTTCTTAAATCTGAATAGACTTCGTTCCCAATTATTTCCTTTTTATAGGATGAGCTGTGTCAATACTTTCAAGGCACTTTCCAAGGCCCCCAAAACAAGCTACTGAAATATCACTAAACTTGTGTTCTTGACAGCTAAAAAGACTAAAGACCTAATAGTGTTTGTTATTTGCCTTATACAAGCCAATTCATTTCCCATACACATAAAATACAAATATAGTCTTTTTTAAAGGAAATGAACCATTTGGAAACTGAAGAACAAAATAAATCAGATTCCCCAGTGTCTCATCAAGTGCTGGAAGCCTGAATCTAAATTTAGAAAAGGCAAATGAAAATACATTCTGTATTAAAGTGTCAAGAGTGGTTTAAAAAATGTTGGTTGTAAAGCAAAGTGTCACTTATATGTTTGTATATTCCCTAAAAAAAAAAAAAAGCACTAGGACTTCTGAGGTTGGACAGAGCAAGAATAGAATGGCTGCCCTTCCAGATATGCCTAGCATTCAAAGTAGGGTCCCTGTGCACAGGAGCTCTTACTGCCACAGCTGTAGAGGAAAATTCAGTTTTTACGCTCTCTGCTGCAGTGCAGGATGAGTGGTGACAGGTCGACATAGCTCTGTTATATCCCACATCAGATGTTTTTGTAAGAGGGGATAGCCAGGTCCAAGGTTCATTTATAAACAGTATAGCAGTCTAACAGAATCTAAGTAACTGCTAAATAGGTCCTGGCTGCTCTAGGTAACTGTGTTCATATTTGAAATCTTTTCTCCCTCAGCAAATTTATTTATTCACTAAATAAAGTGAGTAGCTGTTGCTGCATTTACTTCCTTGCTAAGACAGATGCTGCCTTATTATCAGTAAACAGCCTTCTGATATAAAATAGTAAGTGCAAATCAGAATGGATCTAAATATTGATATTTGAAAGTTGTAGTTGGTCTGTTCCAACAAAAGATGGCACTGCTGTTTTCTTCAGAACTGTAAAGTCTATTCATTGAAATTAAATACTTTTAAAACAGTTCCCTCATGTTTGTCACAGAATATGCTCACTGAGATTGGTATTTGTTATTACTTAGCTATTACTTAGCTACCAAAGGCCTTAGACCTTTGAAAAGCACATATACATCCACAAGAAGTCCCAACTGGAAAAAACTAACTGCCAATAATTCACAAAATACTCTTACAATTTTAATGCGTTAACACCCTCTTGGAGTCCAATTTAATCTTGATCATTATTTTATGGAGATAGTTTTGTAACAAATAAGAAATAGAAGGAAAATATTTTTGAAGATTCTCCCTGACCTGTCTTATGAGATATTTATTAACAATATTTTTTTGAAATGCCCCTGGATCCAGGTGCACCCTTCCTTGACATTTTCTGCCAATATTACATGTGTGCTGCTAATAAAATTTTACACAACTCTGAACTTGTTCCATTGCCTTAATTCAAATGAATTAGCTTTGTACTTCAGAGCTAAGCAAAAATTAGGTATGAGTACTAATCCCATAAATAGTATAGATTAAGATGACAATAAGGAACGAATAGAAGGTACTTTCTTAGTGTGAAATAGACTGCACATCCCCAATTACAAAATAAATTTGCAGTAGGTCTGTGTTAAAATTAAAGCATCTACCTGTTACCATGACTAAAACCTAAAAAGAAAGCAAAAGCCAAACCCGCAGACAATAATAACCATGGTATGTAAATCGTAAGTAGTCATTTCAGATAAAACTAAATTAAAAAAATGGACATATTCAGCATCTTGCAGGAATACACAAAAATCATTCCATATTTGTCATCACCTTATCCCAGTATGATCTGATGTAATTTAGCCTGAATGACACCATCAAAAACTCAAATGTCCCAAGTTATCCAATATGCTTTATGTTAAGTGGAACCAAAAAATTCAGATGCGTTTGGATAAAAATTACAATATATTCTGATACTGAGGGAGCTTTTTTCCTGTCATTTTTTGGTGATATTTCTGTATGTCAGAAGCTACATCTCAGGTATGCTTTCAACTTTCATTTTGGGTTTGTTTTTCTAAGAGTACAGTCATGTTATGCTGTAAGAGAACCTTTCTTGTTCTTTTTCAATCCTTTCCATACTTTTCTCCAAAACAAGGATCAAAAAAAATAAAACCTGCCAGGCAAATGATCCTGTATTCTCAAAGCAGCCTGAAGTTGAGAATAAAGGTTTCTTATGAATAGAAGCATGTTACAAACACCTTTCAAACTACAATGAACTATTCTCAACATGGTAAAGCCCCAGATATTCCAGCTTCCTTGCTGCTAGTGATCACCTCCATTCGAAATGGCAGCCAGCGGAAGTACTGAGGAAGCAAAAGCTATAATTCAAAGATGATCACGGAAGTGTATCACAATGAAACTGTAACAGTTCAAACAGTGAAATAATACAATTTCTTAAAACAGTAATACTGACCTTTTTATTGGCAGAGGTATCTTTCCATGCAGCTCACCAGTCTCACCACTAAACAGGACAGTGACGCATTGACAAACGCTTACAATTGTCTTCAATGAGTGGAAGGAGAACTGCAGTTTTACAGGTCTTTGCACATTTACACAGCAAGACATCACCTTGCCTCATTAAGAATACATTACCACTTTGTTTGTATGTTCAGAGTCTTTTTAATGAGATTCCCCTTAAAATACTGTTTGGAGAGAAGCAGCATATTAGCACATATGTATTTCAATCATATGTTCAATGCAGTAAATTCAGGAAAAAAAAAGAATTGTCAAAGAAGTGCAATACGTGGGTTTTAGATTTTCTCAAAATTAAGATTTAAAAATTACTATTAACCTTTAAAAATTACTATAATGTGTATTTTGTTTTTTCCCTTTGTCTTTTGTCCTTTTTCCTTTGTATTTTGTCCTTTGTCCTTTTATCCTCTTCTAATATAACCTTGCAGTTGGGCATTTCTCCAAATTTAAACTCTTTTATAATTTTCCAGTTCTACCCTGGTTGGTTTTCTTTCTTTCTTTCCCTCCCCCCTTACCTGATGTTCCAGGATGCATTATACAACAACTTTGCTCCACATTCTTCCCTTCCTGTCTCAGAACTCTTTGCCCTGTGTTCTGCCTGCTTCACTGGAGAACTATGTCTATATCATGGCTGCATTCATTCAAGCTGGAAATCAGAAGAAGGTGAGTACTGAAGAGCAACTGCAGGAAACTTACTGTCTTTCCAAGGAGCTGAACTTTCTGTTCACTCATTGCTCATGGAGAGCTCTGCTGACTCCTGTCACAACCCCAACTCGCAGCCGTTCCCCAGAGGTAGCCAAACAGGCACAGCTCAGGCAATTCCTGTAATTGAATTATGTCAGCTGCCGAAAATATTCATTGCCAAAGTTCTTACAGAAAAGAAGAGAAAGTAATATTGAGAAAAAGAGCTTGAGGAAGAGGGACTGAATTTTATGCTCAAAATTAATGCTAACATAATAAAAAATGTTCATAGTAGTCAATCACATTGCAACCTTTCCCACATCTTAAAAATGTACTTGATTATTTACTGCAAGAACACAGTAATTTTCACCAGGTACTACTGTTTCATGATGCTGCATTAGCAAATCAAGCAGTAGACCAGGGGTTGCAGGTGTCTTTCAAACGCTGCCATTCTTTCACAATTCGTACCACAACAAACAATGATATGCAGAGTTAAAAAACACTCAGCGTTTCCTGCAGGTGATATTTATTTATCAAGATATCATCATATACTAATGTAGATATGCTGAAAACTTAGAACTACATTTAGATTAATTCATAACGAGGACATATTTAACATAGCATAGGGATAATTAAGGAATTTGAGGTAAAGGACACTTCGTTTTTGTACTTCCTATGAAATTACCATGCATTAAATTTAGTGAAAATCCTTTAGACCAATTCGTTTTCTGAGTTATCTAGTTATTAAACAAGTTACCTCCCCATATGTGTAAAAATGTCGTAAATGCATTCCTTAAGATCACCTCAAAATCTATATGCTAAAAGGCTAAGCATGGTGCAATGGCAATAGAAAACATGTCAGAGTATGGTATCACTGTAGCATGACCAAATTCCCTGAAATGAAGGCTTGGGCCCCAATCTTAAAATTCAGTTGGATGTTTTTGTATTGTTTTCAAGAGTTTCCTGTAGATAATCAAGAATCTTGAGTAAGAGATGATTAGAAAAACTGATTCTAAGCTGAAGACTTCAGCTGCCTGACACAAGATGACTGTATTAATAAAGAATTTGAAACATGAGTTAAGCTTTCACAGTACCAAATCCATACAGAATCAGGAAAAATAAAAAATAATTAGACTGAAGAAACTCAGAGGAGTAGTGTAATCTCTTTGTCTCTGAGAACGGCACATCATAAATATTTCTTCAGTCATCAGAGAAAAATAATTTTGGCTCTTCTCCCCTCTACTGCTGCTCATAAAATAGAGGAGCTGTGCCTCTGTAATTAGCTTGGAAGGTAGCTTCTCCTCTTCCTCCCACCACATGCTTTAGCTTGAAAACAGTAGTTTCATACTTACAGCACAATTAAACACAAGGCACTGACCTTTCTGTGGCATAAGTGAGAAACGGTCAAGATTAAAGCCAGTGGTTAGCGACATCAACTCCTGGAAGCATTTATAATCTCACTGGGCTTGAAGTTCATGAGATCCCCACTGTGTTGTGGTTTGAAGCAATTCTGAAAGGAAATAAACACATTCTGCTGTTTGTTCCTGTCTTTGCAAAGGCATTTTGTAGCTCGTTGGAGTTTTGTTCTCGTTGGAACATATGAAATTTAGAATAAATACCTAAGGTGCTCACTGTCCTGATCAATAGCTAGTACACTATTTTAAATAAATGGTTAGACTGCACTCTCAATCTCTGGCAAATGGAAGTTGTACACACTTACTTACCTTTAAATTTATCTACACTTGAATATGTAGTTTTTTGGACCAGGTGAAAAAGTCAGGAATCTAATAAGGAAATGATTTTAAAAAGAGGTTTTTAATTTCAATAAAAAAATTCATTTTGTTCCAAAATTTGATATTGAAAATCTGTCACAAAGAAATTTTACAGTTCTAGATTTCTGCTATAGATTAAAATAAATACATCTAGAACATTTCTGAAACAGAACATGCTCTTTTTCTTCACAACTTGCCTAAAGAAACCAATGTTTTCCTTTGGTTCCTAAAAATTGAAATCAATGCTGTTGAATTTCAAACATACTAGTACTGTATGTAAACTTTGTTTCAGTTCACAATTTGATTAATGGATCAAAGAGCTTTGTTAATACGATACAATTCTGAATTCTGATTATTTCAACATTTATTTCAAACTGCTTTTTTTTAATCACACTTGGAAATATACCAGAAACGCCCACTTTAATTATTAATACTATTCAAAATCAGTATGAAAAAGTAAACACAGTCTTTAGCCTCTGTCTTTAAAATTGCAATTAAAGTAATGTAGAATAGAAATCCAATATCTAGATTACAGTATGCAAAAAAAAAAAAAAAAAAAGGTTATTTTAATTTGTGATATTTGCAAAAGGTGTAATTAGGACTCAATCTCTGTTTGTGTTAAATGCAGCTTCCATGTGGAATATTCATAACATTAAAAAAAAAAAAAGTTTGAAAAAGTTCTGGAGTACCAATAAATTATTTGATTCTAATTTCTGTGAGGTCAAAAACAACTATGACTTTTTCCTCAAGATTTACATCATTATAATTTAAAAAAATACAGGATTCCCTAACCTTATACTTTTCCACTGGTATCTCATCTTTTTTCCTCTCTTTGGTTTTACGTTACTATTCCTCTTGTACCCCAAAATTTGAACCCTTGAGTTCAATTATCTGAGACCTTGAAAGAAGGGAAAGATGAAACAATTAGTTGCTACCTTGAGGGTTCCACAAAGTTATTCTTGCAGTTCTGAGGAAACTTCACAGATTATGACTTTCAAGCTCTAATGGAAAGGACCCAATGGAAAACAGAAGAGCTATCAAATGGTCTGTTAGTTGTTTGTGTGATGCTATCATCTCCTAACAATATGCCAGTTGTATCTAGCTCCTTCCCAATAATAAAATAACAGATGTTATTATTCTATAAGAGCTGCTTTGAAAGTAACACCTCCTATTTTATTATGCTGGCCCACGGCATCAGAGGTGCATGCTGGGGGTAGAGGATGAATTTTCCCACCATTAAATTTTGTTGCTGTGAGACAAATGGTAGCAGAGGGGCACTCTGACAAAATGGTGTATGAAGCAAATGTGTGTAAATGAATTCCTCCATGCTGAGCATTTGTAGATACCAAACAGTGAGTAGATGGTGCATTTCAGCAGTGGTTACTGTGACACTGGGTCACTTCCACCAGTGCAGATTTTTACAAGCGTGGCATGCAGGCTCTTGTTCATCACTGGCAAAAAATAATTAAAAAAACAAAAAAAAACAAAAAAAGAAAAAGAAAAAGAAAAAAAAAGCATATCTTGTGGCAGTGACTCTGTTGGAAAAGAGCAGCTGAGAATTTGCTCCATCAAATAGTTTAATTGTGCTCTTTGCATCTGTTGTAGTTCCCACTGAAGTAAATAGGAGGCATTACTTTCAGAGTATAGCCTTAAAGTGAATGACATGCTATACAGATTGCTCTCTATCCAGCCTGTCCATTTGGAGTGAATTATTGCAAGGAAATGGATCGTCCTCCTTATCTACATAAATTGTATATAATATAGCCTTTTTTAAGTGATGCAAACTCATATACACCTATTAAGGTATTATTTTATTAAACTAATGTGATTAAAAAAAAAAAAAGTAAATGAAACAGCTAATTAGGTATTTATAACTTGTGTCAAAACAGCCCAATTTCTACCATGATTGATCTGAATCACAGAATTGTAGGCGTTGGAAGGGACCTCTAGACTTCACCCAGTTGTCAGCCCACTTCCCTATCCACTCGTCTATCTGGTTTTCCTTTTTCCAGATCTAGTCAGTCCAGTTCCTATCTCAAAGAACTTTCTCACTTTTGATTGTCTTTTTGGGTGTTCTTACATGCTCATCTACTGATACCATGGTTTTATATATTAGGTGTAAATGTTTGGTCTGTGATTCTTTAATCTCTCATTGAAAGGAAAAACAACTACCAAAACAGTAGAACAAGATCCAAACTCAAATGCATCCAAAATTTTTTCCGACTAGAAAATCACAATGCATTTTCTCAGATTATCCAATATAGGCATAAACGACAGAGAAGTAAAAATTGTGGCCATGAAACTTCTTTCAGATCTTAACATACAAGGATGAAATTGTGTTAAAGATCCTCTCTTATCTCCGTGCTTATTTTATTATTTGGGTTTCTTGATTCTCTACCTGATGATTTATAATCTTTTTATCCTCTCACACCTCCCCCATCTTATGGAAAACATACTATGAAGGATTCTTTTTTTTTACATCACCTTTTAATTTAACCAGAATCTGTTTCTAATTTTAGTGGTTGGGATTATAAATTACTGCAAAAATTTAAACAGATGTGAATTCCCTTCTTACGGTGAGAAGGCAAACCTGGTCCAGATGCAGAACAACAATGCCAAGTGTGGCAATGGCTGGGCTCTCTAATGTTTATAAGGGATATTTTTGATATATGTATATATGCACATATATTTAAAAACCTCTTGATCTCATTCAAAACATTTTTTGAAGAACAGGCTATTTTGTTCCTATCCATCTTAAGGTGTTTCTTTGCATAGAGATCTGTAATGAATAAAATTGTAAAAGTTGTTGAAGGCATGTAACAATTATTTTTAAGGTTCTGTGGAATACCCTTGAACAATTAAGTAAAACTCATACTCTTAATATCTCTTATTCTTTCTTTTTATTTTTGTTTTTACTAATTTTGATAGAATAGGCAACATTTTTTTTCCCTTTACACATGATTTTGTATGTTATTCCATAATATGTTGGAAGTTTGGAAATATATAATTAAAAAAGGCAACGTAGCTAAAAAGATAAGGAGACATCTAAGTCATTAGTCTTGTTCAGTTGCCTACAAGTTAAACCAGTCAGTTGAGCAAGTTTATATTCAGTCTGAACCTACATACACCGTATATAAAATTTATCAGTCCTACCTGTCATTTGAAAGAAATTTTGGTAAATATGTATAAAATAAATGAATTTTAATTGCTATTATTTTATTAGATAAAAAGCTTAATTACCTTTAGATGAGTTTCTGAAACCAAAAAAATGCTTCCAAAAATTCCTGAAGAGCTGAGCAGGACAATCCAACTGAGCTGGTGCAACACAAAGTGATTACTGTGCAGCATCTTCCAGTGGAATGGCTGTTAACTTAATGAAATAATAAAAAATACCATCATTAGCATCAAACGAGGTACAGTGTTTAATAACATCCAGTTCTGATATTTACTTGTGTGACAAAAAGAATGGCTTTATTTATTATGCTTAGGAAAATTAAAGTGGTTTCCATAAAGTTTGAACACGTCTGTTTTCACATAATAGCTTTTCAAGCCAACAATGGTAAAATAATACTGAAAATCTGACCCTGAAAAGAAATTATGTGATTTTTTTTTCTGTGACAACAGAATTAGACAAGTTTAAGTAGGTATATAATTGCATTTAAGTGCAATGAATTAAATTCCTTCTTCAATACCACGTATCTTTCATCTAGTACAGGTTAAGTCATACTTTTTTAGAAACTCAGGACTAATATTTTCAGTTCAGTTTTCATTTTATAGTAATGTCCTCCTTAGGGAAGTCCTGTGAGTGTTCTCATAGAATAACAGTATAATGGCTAACTGTGATTGGCTCAGTTTGTGTCTTTTCCACAGACTCCTCATGTCCAACAAACCTTGGACAAATTCTTCTATCTAGTTCCGAACGCTCCATCTCTTTTAGCAAAGCTGGTTATGCTCTATTCTTGAAGTGCCATGATAAGCAGGACCACCAGTGAGAGTGCTATTAACTGGAATTCTGACAGATTTCTTTTCCAGGCTTTTGTCTGTGATGTTAAGATAGATTTTCATATATTATGAGGTAACTAGTGTGAAATAATAGGTTTTTTGTTTGCTTCCATCCTCAAATCCTCAAATTTAAGATAAATATGCAGGAGAAACCAGTTTGCAAATACAAAGTTGCTCAGTTTCATAATTCTACATTCTAGCATCTTTTTTTTAATTCTCTCCCTACTACTTTGCCATTTTTCATCTGCACATACATCAAAATGATGAAACAAGTCCTCACTGTAAAGATTTTCTTTCTGCCTTTAAACATAATGCTCACTCACATTCCTAATGCTGTAATGATCATCCAGTATAACTGAAAATTCTTGATGGCTGAGATTCCTTTTCATGAGCAAATTACAAATGGCAATAAAATGAGTTTTGCCTTTCTTAAGATATTATGTGATTTAGACTCAAACTTATGATTTAAATTAAAGGAAATGTCTTTTACTATCACAATAATTGATTTCAAATCAAATTTGAAAATTTCTAACTCTGATTTCAGTATCCTCCTCAAAGTATATAGAAGGGTTATGTAGTCACTTGTAGACAAGAACACTGTAACATTCTGCTGCCTCATGAAGTGGCCATTACTCTTCAGTTTCTCATCTCTATATCATGGTGTTTTGACTTTGTTCACTGTATGTACTCCTTCAGTGCACGGAGAAAAATTCAGTTAGCTGTTCAAGGAAATGCATTTTTGTCAAAACTTTGTGGGGTTGGAGCAAGGAAAATATCAACTCACAACTGACTCGCAGTATCATTACAATTCAAAACTGCTTCACAGTATCACAAGGATAATATCAACTCACAACATCAACTGCATCTTTGGAGTAAAATGTGTATATTAAAATGCAGAAAGGAAGCTCCCTCATCTCAAACACACAATTTTTCTTGTTATTATTAAAAGAGTTCAAAAAATAAAGACCCGAAGAATGATGAAGATAAAGAATCTCTTCCTGACTTGTTAAAATTGCTGCCCATGATAGACTTTATTTGATGGTATTTGTAATAGCTTCAAAAGGATATTTGAGCTACAGGTAATTGGTAAAAAAGAAAAAGGTTTCTCAACTACTTTAAGATCTTGTTGCAGCTCTAAGGACTGACTGTAGATACCACCTTTAGTACATCTAGACATACTTGAACACTAAAAATATACCTTCAGCTGCACTTTCACAAGCCCTTTTGTATTATTGTATTATGTACGATTGTATTATCTTGAGCTGATTACAAAGTGTGTATTCCTTATGGCAACTGGAGACGACCTGCACCTTGACCGTAAGCATAATATAAAAAAACATAAAGAAGAATCACACTGTGGTTCAACTGAATAATGCAAATTTTGTATTCTGTTAAGTGTGGTTTGCATGTGTACTGTGATTTCAGTGTCTTGCTATATTACTCTGCTAAATCAGTGGCACCATGGGATGCCATGTAACATTAAGTATCTACAAGCAAGTCAGTATTGAACATGGGATCTCTATATCTGAAATATCCAAATTAAAGCGTTCAAAAAGTACAGGAGTCTGACAGAGTTGTAACATTTATTCACCTCTTTGATATTGAGACTTACTTAATCTGCTACTCGAGAATGGTGGGGTTTGCTTCAACTTGAGTAATTCCACAGGGAGCTCTCCTGTTTTCCTTCTTGGCTGGGTGCTACCATCCTGATCTCTGCCTAACTGGAATTAGCCTTCATGTTGTGTGCAGAGGACAGGTAGACCATTCCAAGTGCCACATGAATCACAGTCTTTCATTTGACCGCAACATTTTTAGGCATACTATTAAAAAATGTCAGATTTGGAAACCTTTCATTTGACATTTATCTGAACAACCATAATGTAACTGTATGAAAATGTCAAAGGAGAATAAAGCTGTATCTTATCTGTACAAATATCAAATGAATGGTTGTTTCCTCTGATATTTAGGGTCTGAAAGGGTAGAGGTCAAATCAGGTGTCTCCCCTCACGAAGGTTAGTGGTAGTGATGAACAAGGATAGTTGAGAATTCTAAGGAAATAGCTCTCACCCATATCACGGAGCTTGTTGCCCTAAGAAACTCTAGGTAGCAACTCAAAGAGAATCCCAAGGTAGCTTTAATGCTTTGGCAACAAAATAGCTAATTCCTGCCTCCTGCCCCAAAGGCTGCTTGTCCCTGACAGTTGGTTTTGTGTTTTTATTTGGACTTTTCCTGCGAAGAATGCTTCCCTTTCTAGCTCCATTTTTCCCTATTCCAAGTAAAATAAGCTTGCTTGCTTCTCTCTTACTCCTTCAAACTTTACTCAAATATTTATCGTTAGGGATATTGTGGCTTTGTGCTTAAGCACATGCAGTCCAGATTTTCAGAGGTTCAGTAATTATTGGAAGCATGTTGTTTGAATTTCTTCCTGTTTTTCAGTTTGAGAGTAAAAGCTAATTTTTTTGAAGAGGAAATACAAAAAATGACTTTCTACGTAGCTTCTTGCATTGATAGAGCTATGAATATGCAAGTTTCTGCTGAAATTTATCATTGTTTGCAAATTATGTCAGTTTCCTCTTTGATGCTCGTGATCTGCAAGTATTTAGATGTCTGATTCCTACTGACATAATTCTTCACTGCATAGCCAAGCAGAGCACTCTTCTGCAGCTCTAACAGTTATTCTCTCTGTAACCTTCTTTTATGCATCGATGTCATAAAACTTTAGGGGATACCCTGGTTGAACAAGTCTGGCATTTGTGGATTGTAACTACGAGTAGGGATACCAAGGTAGCTGTAATTTACAGTCCCTCTATAAACCTCTTCTATATTACGGTTGTACTGTTAATTCAGAAAGTGAAAGTAAACAAGTGACTCTTTCCCAAGCCTATTGATACTAAATTATTTTAACAATATTTACCCATTAGAAATAGTAAGACACCATTCAATTTCTGGAGTCAATGCATTACAAAGTCACCACTTTACAAGTTGCACATTCAAACTCAAAAGAGATTCCTGAGATGACTATTTTGCTGTCCCCACCATGTAAATGATACTGGCACACTAAGCCTTCTCCTGCAGTATCTGTTTTTATCAGCATATGTCTGTGGACTTCATGCTGTCAAATTGCCCTGTGATCTCCATCATGCCCACATTTATGAGAAATCCTGACATATTTATTTCTAGAGCCTGTCTTTTGCATTGATTGTCTCACAAGAGTACCATTGTGGGTACTCAGTAATTTTTTGGTAAGCCACTTCGTATGTAAGAGCAATGGCGTATCATTACTCTAAAACTGTTACATTCATGACTGAAAGGATTTCCAGAATAGCCAAAATTTGTTCATTGATATCTAAAAAGGTCCAAAAGTCAGTTTGTCTATGAATGACACCGTAACACTAACAGCATCAGGCCAAAAGTTTACCATACATAAACCAACCATCCAAATTCTTCCACTAAAGCATAAAAGAACTCTTAGTTTTGTAACCACTTGTAAATATGCAAATAATATTCCCTGATAAGATCTTAAATACATTGTCATATGAAATGATTAACAACTACTATTAATTTGGAAACGTTGAGATTCACAATTCCAAGTGCTGATTCTCTTACATACTCTAAATGCAGACTTTAAAATTTAAACACAGTAAGAAATGCTATTTCACAACATCTGCTACAAGTACATTATGATACCAGAATGACATAATTGTGGTCTAAGAGCAGAAACTAGGAAAAGGGCCGCTATATCATCTTATTCCCACTGAAAACAAAGAAAGAAAGAAAGAAATCCTTACAACTCATTCCTCCACTACCTGACTGGTAAATCAGTGTGCAATAAATAAAAATATAAGTTAAATAAAGTTAAAACATTAAAGCCCCTGGCTTGAACAACTGAATGGTGAGAGAAGGGGAGAGGACGTGGGGGAAATACACCAGACTACACTGGAACTCCAAGGGAACATCTTTTGTATGCCCTGTGTAACATTCCAAATTTTACCTGTTCGTTGCAGTATCCCAGTAATGCCATAAATCTGAAAAGTCCTGTGTAGGCAGCTCCTTGGCAATTTTTTAGAAGATTTAGAGCTGAGAACACATTCAACCCTTCCTTTCTCTCATATTTTCTTCGCCATTCACCCATTAGAATTAGGATTCTTACTGCATTGCTGGGTCTTCATTGTCTGAAAAAGCATGAGACCCTCTAAGTCTAAAACTTATGTATTTAGTATCCCGAGCATCAGGAGGACTCTTCCTGAAGGCAACAAGGTGAGGCTTTCTTATAGGTTGCACATTGTCCAGGATGTGGATCCTCTGAGGATCCCTACTCTATTAATTACGGGGATCACAGGGTAACCTGAGTGTTAAGTAGAGCA